CAGCAGTGGCTGCCTTTTGCCCTCACTTCAGGAGACTGGTATTAATTTAATATCCAGCTCTAGTCACAGTAGAGTTAATCCTTGATCATACAGCACTGGTATGTGTTATAAAGAAGCTTTTAGAAGGTATATACTAATTCATACAAATCAGGACAATAACATATGGGCCATTCACTTAAGAGTTGGACTCGATGATCCTTGTGAGGTCCCTTCCAACTCAGAGCATTCTGTGAAATCTGTGAAATAATATGTCAATGTGATTCATAAAGACCAAAGTGAAATATTCACAGACCTACAGATGCAATTTGTGTGGGAAGAGTGTGCCATTGATAAACTCATCTCAAAACCTGCCAAATTTTCCATTACTGGGAATACAAGGCTAAGTTCTAAGACCCAATACCATTTTTTTTACATAATCTCTCTCCAATACTCTCAAGCCTAAACACAAAATAGCCTCAAATCTCACTCAGCTAAACCCCTCCAATTATACAAGGCTTTCAAGCGCTTGTAATTTCTCTGAGGTTTTCTATTCTGTTGGAGAAAGGGAAACACTGAGGGAAACTCCAGGTTCCAGCAGCAGTGTGGGCTTGCACAGCTCTCATCCATCCCTTCCTTGGTGCTGCTTCCTCCCTCAGCTTCTTCCCATCCCAACTGTCACTGATCTGAAAGAGAACAGCACAACCAAACGACAAGAAGTCTTCCAAAATGCAGACACTGAGGTCTGACTTTGAAAAATGTTGTGAAAATATCAATGGAAAGAACAGTTGAGGTTTCAGGTTGTTGGGTTTTTCTGGAAAGGCTGAAGAAACTCTTCCAAAGTCACTGTCAGATAAACAAGAATACTAAATTACATAATAGAGTTCAGGAATCTATTTCTGTTCTATCATTAACATATTTTTCAATTACTTCTATTAGGTTTTGTTGACATTTAACAGTGCAGAATGCCTAAGAACCAAGCATCCCTTTCCTGTTCAATCACACCTCAAATTAGATAACCTGTGAACAAAGCAAATTAAAATGACAGGGAAACTTTTTAGAGATCAAGGTTTTCTAAAAGAAAACCTAAGAAAGAGTGAGGCATACAAAAGACATAAGAATCAAAACTTCTTCAGTAGAGACCATCAAAACCAGGGCTGACAACTTCCTGGCAAAGGCACTATAATGAAACTTCTGTAGGAAAAGCAAATGGCTTTGAGGAAAGCAGGCACAGTTTCCCACTCTACTGAGCAGTGAATGAACCCATTCAGCCCCTACACCCCCTGACTGCTCACATCTGCAGAGGGCTGTTCTCCAACACAAGAAATACTGTTCAAAGGGGCCAGCCTTCCCAATATTAACTGGATTATACAGTACAGGCTTTGCAGAACACTGTTAGGCTTTGGAAATGGATTTTTATTTCATAGGCATTAAATCATAAACTCATAAAAGTCTCTCCTTCTCCCATTTCATTAACACAGGCATTCTCTGCCATTTTGGCTCACCAGGGTATCAACAGCCTTGACAGAGCTACCAGTGTGTGTGACTGAGGAAGAGGTGATGCTTCATTGACCAAATACTTTCAAGGTACAGTCAAATTCTCAAGAGTTAAAGCAAGCAACAGTGAGGATTTTGAATTCTGCAAGCAGCCAAGAAAAGAAAGCAGAAAGTTAATTTCTCCATCAATTCAGCCACAGCAAAGTAGCTTCTCAGCCGGCACTTATGAATCTGGACACATCTCTGGGAAGTTGGATTACAACACTTGAGCACTTCCGGAGAAAAGTCAATGCTGTTCATCGCTCATAATAACACTAACATGTCCTGGATCATCTGTAACCACTTCATCCCTGCATACAGCTCATTTACATGCTCTCAGCTTTTTCCAGAAGTGCTCCAGGAAGCATTTCAATACACAGTGCCTCCCAGGACCAAGTAGTTCTTGACAACTACTTGAAATTACAAATGGAGTATGGATCCTTTGACCTCTCAGCGTACACCTGAACAGGAATGATCTGATGATTAAAGTCTCTCATTGCCTAAAAACTGCTGGCAATTTTAATTGGAAAAAACAGAGCATTGACTTCTGAAAGTGCAAACAGAACTGGCACTGCTTTGTGCCTTATTGGCCATTTCTTCAGAGAGGCCAACAGACAACTGTGAGAAAAGAAACATCACTTGGGAAGGAAATGTCTCCTAGACATTTATATAACTAAGTCACATTTGAGGCACAATGGCAGAGCAATGAGGGTAAAGAATGGGAATCTGAATGGATTTACAAGGTCATGCGCAAGAGACTTCCATTCCATTAGATTGAGAATTTTAGTCTCCATGCTCATCAGTCAAGCACAAGACATTGTATTTCCATTTGCATAAACCCTTTTGGGATTTATTTCTTGTCATCTTCATAGCTTTGAATGGAATATCAAATTTTAGAGTAGAGGAGCTGCAGACGTGACAATTCATAATCTTGTGAAATACAACATTTGTCACCTTGCGTGAAAACGGATCCGATACACCTCACTTGTGAGCAGCAAAACCAGCCTCTGAAAGTGAGTGTAAGATGAAATCCCATCCAGCCTAATTACCAGAGAAGTTTCATATCGTCACAGTCCCAACTAACTTATCTTTCTGAAGATTCTAATCTCAAAAATATGGTTATATATCGCCGCCTACCTCCAAAACCCCGTCACTATGTCTGTGTGCGCAGGCGCTGGGAGCACTTGGTCAGGACACACTGCACACCCTCCACCAGAACCTGAAGCCGTGGCACTGCTGCCAACCACCTCCATGCCACGCTGGGCTTGGCCCCAGAATTCCACACCTTTGCTGGAAGTCTTTTTCTTAACTTGAAATATGGTGACTACACCATCTGATAATCAGAATCTGTTCTAAGTTGTTTGTTATGATCAATAATTAAAGCTTTGTATATTATTGTAGGATGGTTAACAGTGTAAAAAGAGAAAAACAGTCAATTTTCACAAGCCTAATCAAAAGGTGACTTGCTAGACACCGCAAGCCTTTTTCATTTCTTTGATTGTCAAAATCAAAGCACAAAATTGAAGAGGAGTGCCAAGCAGAAAGTTGAGCATGGTACATGGCAACTGCATAAAATCCACAAATTTAGGGTTGAGCACAGAAGCAGGAAAGAAATGAAATCAGAGTGAAGGGAATGGAAACTACCACATGTGGGTAAAATTGGCATTAAAGCTGCTAAGGAGAATAAGCCAACTTCGGTGTTCTCACCACGGGCTGACAGGCAGTGCCAGTACCTGAGGGATCAAAACTCACTGAGTGTCATATATGACTGACTGGACACCATCATATAACTGAAAAGAAAATCTAACTCAAATTGAGTCAATGCAAAGATGTAAACACCTTGATGACACACATGAAAACATCCCAAAAGGCAAAACACCCCAAAGGTCTAACCAGTAACTAGGAACACAGAGCATTTCAGAACATCATATGAGAAGAGTACAAAAGTTCCCAATAATCATTCTCATGTATTCTTTCCTTTTACAATACGTAGAGATTTGGTAGCTAAGACATACAGCTAGAAAACTGTGTCTGTTCATAGTAATTCCAGCCTCAGCTCTCTCTCAAGCAGCCCTGTCTCCTTTTGGCCCCTGTCCCCTGGTTCCTCAGGGCCATTGTTCAGCTCCCAGCTCAACTGCAGCAAAACAGCTCCTAAATGTGCTGTAGAAATGGTACCACTTTAATGTCAGAGCTCAGCATAGCAACCAGCCACTCTAAATAAATAAATAATGAAGCGTGGTATTCCAACAGATAATATAAATACACTTTCAGCAAATTTCTTGGGTCCAAAGGTCAGTCAACTTGTTTGCTCTGACTCCCAGAATGTGTAAATCTCAACATGATGTTTAAACACAAACATAGACAAACATCAAAGTTCAATGCTGACATATTTTACACCTCGGAGTTACATGCCAGAATAGCTCTGTACCACACAGAGAAAACTGTAATGCATGTGTAAGGAAGTGACAAAACACTATCCTGAACTAAATCCAATTTTTTTTCTTTAAATAGCCTCTCATTCTGTATTTTTCCTCTTCTTTCTTCTCTATTTACTCTCATTCATCCTCTCACACAGAGAAGTATTTGTGCAGCTGTATAATTTCACCAGTCATCCACTTAATTACCAATAAAAGGGGAGATGAAATTTTCCATCCTAAGATTCATTTCAGGGATGTGTGTTTCTGTATCCCTGACCGATTCCCACATAGGGACATACCTGTACTTAAAAAACCACAACGTTTCAAGGTAAACCACCAAGTTCCTGAGCAAGAGAATGGACCCACCAGCTACACAGGCACTTCTGGGCTGCTGTGCAGAGCAGCCACTCTCAGCCTCTCTCCTAAAGGAAATGTGCAAATAACCCACAGCTTCCACTCAAGCTGTGCTCTTCTTGCCGGGTTCTCTCATTCATCTTCCTTTTGAACAGCTCTGTGCTGTCCAGAAGTGAAATACAAGGGACTTCAGGAAGCACAAGAAATTAATTTCACGAATGGAAACCCACCAGGGTGAAAGGGAACACTTCTCCCCACTGTCCCAGAGCCACCTGCCCCTCTCCTCCGGGGTGATACACCTGGATCTGATCCTGATAGATGCAGGTTCACTGTGCATGATCCCCACACCCAGCAGTGCCAGGACGCAGCCCAGGAAACAGCAATGGAAGTGAGCACTGGCTCCATGCACAGGAATTGCTCAGCTCTCCTTCCCCTGCCACAGGAAACCTGGGCTGAGGCGAAAACCTCTCCTTTGTCAGCAGAGGGGAATTCACGAGAGGGACCTTTCTCAGCATCGCGTTTTCACGGATGGGATGGGGAAAGGCAGGATGCAGGGAAGGAGGAGTGGGCAACTTCTGAAATGTAAGTGATGTAATGACTCAGTTCTGCAAAATGAGAGCCTCTCTCACCTTTACCAAGTGATCCCACCTAGAGGTGTGGGAACAGAGCTCCCTGGCAGAGCAGCAGGTGGGTGCTCCCCCTCCCCTCCCTGCTCACCTTCCTGGCTCCTCTCCTGGCGAATTCCCGGGCCAGGTGGCGGCCGATGCCTCGGCCCCCGCCGGTGACCAGCACGTTCTCCCGGGACAGGTCTCGCAGCTTGGGCGGCAGCACCAGGCACACGGCAGCTTTCACCACCAGGTACACCATCTGCACCGGGAACAGCAGCAGGGCACCCAGCCACTTCCACATCATCCTCTTCTCCCAGGCAAAGTTCTCTTCCAAACCTCCACAAAACCAAGGTGACAGGGAAAGAAAAGCAATGCCCTTCATGCACCCCCAGACGGGTGACAAGTCTTCAACCCCCTTCCAAAACTTGGGGGCAAGAGGTTCTTGGACTGGAAAAAATCCTTCTCTCCCCCTAAAAAAAAATGGGGGTAGGAGTAAAGTAGTGCAGAAGACCAAGTCACTCCCCTGTTTCTTGATCGGTGTCCTCTGGGATTGTCAAAGGCAGGTAAAACAGCTTCCTTGCTTTTAACTGGATGATTTTTTTTTTTTAATTAAAAGATAGGAAAAAAAAAAAGTAGAATTAAAAGTAACCATACATCCCTCCGCTGCAAAGACCCACATAAAAATCCAGTATCCAAACGAAAGGTTTTTATATTTAGAAAAATAAAATAAAGCAGCCCATGTCTCCAAATTTCAGCCTGCAGTGCCTTCCAGGCAGCTCATTTCTATTCTTAGACTCAGGAAATTGCTTAAATAAGACAGAATTGCCAGGACCTTCTTTTTAAGAAAGGCTCTATTCAGGGTGAGGTTGTTGTTTTTGTTTTAGTATCTATAAATATCTATAGACGTTCTGTCCTGAGCCGGTTGCAAAGGTTGAGCTGGTCACTGCCTCTCTCTGCCCCCTCTCCCGGTTTTTTCACTTGGAGTGTCTGATCACAGAGCAGGAATTACGCCGTGCACTACTTCAGCTCCGGCTCTTACTCATTTCTGCCTATTGCTGTCTCTGCCGCTCAGGGCCGCGGCGCTGGGGAGGTTTTATACCCCATTAATCCTGATTGACAGTTAAAGTGTCGGGGCGATTTCACTACTGTTCCTGGGAGTGGCTCTGCTCTGCCCTCCCCCGCCGGCCGCCTGCGCTGCGAGCGAGCTGCGGCTCGGCGGCGCTGCCAGCGCGGCCAGCGGGGCCACCTGCGGGCACTTCTGGCCACCTATGGGCCACCTGCGGGCACTTCTGGCCACCTATGGGCCACCTGCGGGCACTTCTGGCCACCTATGGGCCACCTGCGGCCACCCCGGGCAACCTATGGGCCACCTGCGGGCACTTCTGGCCACCTATGGGCCACCTGCGGGCACTTCTGGCCACCTATGGGCCACCTGCGGCCACCCCGGGCAACCTATGGGCCACCTGCGGGCACTTCTGGCCACCTATGGGCCACCTGCGGCCACCCCGGGCAACCTATGGGCCACCTGCGGCCACCTCGGGCCACCTATGGGCCACCTGCGGGCACCCCAGACCACCTATGGGCCACCTGCGGGCATTCTGGGCCACCTGAGGCCACCTCTGGCCACCTCTGGGCCACCTGCGGGCACCCCGGGCCACCTGCGGCCACCTCTGGCAACCTCTGGGCCACCTGCGGGCACCCCGGGCAACCTATGGGCCTCCTGCGGGCACCCTGGGCCACCCTGAGCCACCTGCTGGCACCTCTGGCAACCTATGGGCACCTGAAGGCACCCCGGGCCACCTATGGGCCACCTGCGGGCATGGGGGGCAAACTGTGGGCACAGTGGACTACTTGTGGGCATGCTGGGCTCATGTCACACTGGGCTAGCTGTGTGCCACACTGGGCTCCTGTCATACTGGGCTAGCTGTGTGCCACAATGGGCTCATGTCATGCTGGGCTAGCTGTGTGCCACCCTGTGCTTGTTCCGTGTCACCCTGGGCTCTGTTATGCCGCCTTGGGCTCACTGCCTGCCGTGCTGGGCTTGTGCCACGCTGGGCTCTCTGCAGGAACCAAAGTGCTCTGCCACCAAGGCAGGCAGCCCCTGCCTCCTCCCTCCCCTGCGTGCACCAGAAAGGTGCCCTGGTGTGACCTGAGCCCAGGGAAAATCCAGCCAGGAAGAATCAGGGTAAGGCTGAGTTCAAAGCCACCACGGGGAGCTGCTTGCCCAAGGCCAGCTGGTGTGTGGGGGGCAAAGCTGCTTGCAGCCCTAGATTGCCAGCTGAACCCAGCCTAGGCTGATAATCATCAATATCTAGTACCACTGGGGCAGTGTTTTTCTGGAGAGCATGACACCTCATGGATTTTCCATGCTGGAAGATGCTTGCATTGCTGAAAACTGGGGATTCAGCGGTGGGCAGTGAAAAAGGCAGGCTCTGAATGACAGAGGGAGGCTCACACTTCAAAAAAAGGGTGGTTTCTTCCAAGACTTTTTTGTCCAGTGATAAGGGCATACCCAGAAGGTCCCCACAGCACTTCAAACTCTGTTGTAATAGGGGAGAGGGCAAAGTGTATCACAGCAGGTCCCCAGGTCCCCGGCTGTTTGCACTCTCAAGCATTAGACAGGTAAATTAGGATTACAGTAGTACAGATTAAGCTTTTCTGAGGAGGCTGTAACTGCACATTCCTGCCCAGCCAGGAGCTGTGGCAGCAATCAGAAATAACCTAAAATGCAAAGCTTTGAGGCTATCAAAAGATCTCAAGGATATCAAAACTCACAGTATTGTCTTGACACCCGGGCTGGAAAGAAATTCGGGTTTATATCTGGGGGTATGACCAGGAATCATCAAAATGAATCCAGTCCACACATTCAGTCAGGTCTGGAGGCAGATGCACTGTCCTGGGAAGCCATCTAGAGGTAAACACTGGAATTAAGGGAAAATGGCACTTAAAACCATTCTCAAACTTGTTCACACCTCTAGTTACTGAAGCACAACCTCAAAGGATGTTTGAATCTGAGCATCTGTGAGAGAGGTGAGTTTGGATGCTGAATCCCCTTAAAAATTAACTCACTTTTCTTCTTTGGAATCAAACAGGTATTTTTGAAAGCAGGCATTCAAAGTGGCCATGTGGAAACAGATTGTTGAGGGGTTTTTTTGTTGGCAAAAAGAAGAGCAGCCAAGTTTCTGGTGCCCCCCACATTCAACAGCTATATCACACATAGATTTTTTTTTTAATTAAAAAAATATGAAAAATACCAAAATACTTGCATTTCAGCTCTGTTAAAAGCTCCACAAAAGTTTTAAAGGAAAGAGAAAAGGAAATAAAATTGAGAAGAGAAACTTGCACATTTTTTACCTTTAACTGCCAGGTTACCTCATATGAAATAAGCCAGATGACTGTCACTGCATAATCACAAATGTCAGGAGAGAGGGTTTTGAAGAGAAGATGAAGAATCCTAACTGGAAACTGTCTCTACATACTGTCAGGATCAGTGAGTGTTCCCTAACTCAGCTGTGTCTGAAATAAGCAGAGAATTTCCACGGCCTGTTGGCAGCGTTTAACACCTTGGTGTGTTTTTATAGGAATACCTCTAGAAATGCAGCTCAGGGAGGCACCTGGCATTACAATTTTCCTCTCAGGCCAACAGCTCTGGAGGGGAGACAGAAATTACCCAGAGAGCCCAAGTGTCTGGCTTAAAGCAGGAATGACTCAGTGTCTGGACTGGAAACAAATATAACAACTTTCTGGTATGGAAATAAGGAGCAGTGCTGAAAATGAAAGGATATGAACTCCATCAAAATATATTTGGTTTTTTGATTCCTGAGTTCAGTCTCTTTATGCTTAAGCACCTCAGACACATATAAAATAGAAAACTCATCAATATTGCACAGTTAACTTGTTTAGATTAAAAGAAAATTAATTATTAATGCAAAACATTTGCAGGTACTTTGAAGCCAGGGGGAATGGAATAATCTGTGAGCATTTATTTCATGTATCTATTTCCACCTTGAATAATAATCTAAATATGTGTTTGAAGTGATTTCTTTTATTCATTATGATTTTGACCCATGTACAAAGTTGCTACCAAATTTGGATTGGGAGTTAAAAGACAGTTCTTAGATATATAACATTTTCCTAACCTACTCTTCAAATTTCATTGAAGTATGAATTATTTTACTTCTTTACTGCTTTAGATTTACCTTGAAGCAATGGAAACTAGTAGATGCTACATTGTAGAAACCAACAAAAACAAGAAGCAAAAGCAGATTTATAGTAAAACTGAAGTTAGTGCATCTTGCATATAGTAAATAAAAACTAGATGCAAATTATTTTAAAATTCACGTAATTCAACCAAAAAGTCAAATAGCTTTAAATACTACACATATTGTATGTGACAGCATTAGAACTTTAGGAACTTTACTTTTTAGAGGTATTGTCCCTTTTAATTGCAGTTCTACTCTGAAAAGGAAAAAAAAAAATATTCCGGGATTTCATCTGATTCTTGTAAAGCAACCACTGCACTCTTTCTTGGCAAGAGGTCTTTTTCCAAATTGTCACCTTTTCAAAACCAACATGAACTTTTATTCACAAAGTCCATCTCTGTTAGTGAGACCCCCTAAACTACACTTTCATAGAGGTTTTTAATCCTGCAGGTACAGACAGACACTCATACCTTTGTGGGAGTAACAAGGATCTGTCACATCACAGTGCTTCTCTCTAATTATCAGTCTGAAGTTGTCCCAAAGTGAATCCTATCCATGTTTCCACTCAGAAGTGCTAAACCACTGCCCTGAAACATTCCATAAGCATGCCTGTTAATTCTGTGAAATTGCATCATCTTCAGAATTAATTTTGCATTTTTGGCAGTTGTTTCCTACACAGACACTTGCAACAGAATATAAACTGAAAAAACAACCAACACAACTTTTTTTAAAGCCATTTTCATGGCACTGTTAACTGTGTTTTATAGGTAGGCAGGCAGTCTGGCAGGCAGGGGGATTCCTGGGGTGGTCCTGTGCAGGGTCAGGAGTTTGATGATCCTTATGGATGCGTTCCAACTTGGGATATTCTATAATTCTATGGAATGTATTCAGTGGTAACTCAAGCCAGTTTTGGCTTCCATTTGTTTGTTTAGTTTGCTGGGTTTGTACATGTGCAGCTTTTGGACTGTACTTAGTGTAGATTTACTTGTATTCTCAACAAGTTATAGAAGCTGATTTTTTCTGACTTGCAGTGGCTTGAAGGAAAAAACCAGCAGTGAAAAGCACATTTACCTCCAAAACAAGTTGATACACTCCCTACACACATCACTTACATGACAGAGCTCCATTTTTGCAAAACAGTGTTACCTGGATCTATGAAGAGGCTCAGGCAGTGTTTGAATGCTCACAGTTCATGTTACACCTGTATTTATAGGCACAACTGTGTTCATAGAGCCTTTGCAGCCAAGTTCCTACCAGCCTTGGAAGGCTGTTTGTACAAATGAGGTTGCTAAACTGCAAGAACTTTTGAAAGGAAAATGAGCTGGACATTAAAACTGTGCTTGAGGTATGTCTGAAAGCCATTTGGGCTAACAATTCTGTGTTTTCAACTTTAAAAACCCCACTTAGATCTCTACAGTGCAAACCTAGGAACACAGAGCAGCAGTTCCACAATGGAAAGGCTGTGTAACTACAGTGTCAAGTAATACCATTTTTCACATCAGTGCAGTGTTCTTGATCATAGACAATCTGTCATGATTACAGAATAAAACTTAAACCTCCTTTAAAAAAGGAAAACCTTTTGCCAAGCTGATCTGGTTTTTGTTAGATGAAGTACTTCTGTCAGATTTGGATAAATCAAGAGCTAAACTTTTGTGCTTCTTGATTTCATTTTTCCCTTGCGTTCACACTTTTCATTTGAAATGTGTCCCAGTGGTTCTGTGATTTCACACTGTCCTTCTGTATGCTCTAAGAGTCTGATAGTGCTGCCTTCTAAGTGGAGTTCTGCCATGGACTAAGCTCAAAGGAACCAGGCTTCTGGTTAACTTCCAGCCTGACAGCAAAGACTGTCAGGCCTTTTACAAAAAGCTGTATTTCAATGTCTTAAGGGCTTTCCCAGGATCTTACAACAAAGCAGTGTCATGAGTAAAGATACAAAGATAAAAAATGTCTTGATAAAGATATACAAATATAAAGATAGTTTAGATATATCTAAAGATATAAAAATGTTTTACTGAGTAATTCTAAATTCTAGGCAACATCCTTTTCTAGATTCAAGAAGTGTAAAACTAATTGTCTTTATAAGCAGAAGTTTTCACAGTGCTTATAGGGGCTCTCTGGAATTCAAAGGGATTCAACATCACCTATATGGTACTTGTTCCACTTGCTGAGTTGTTTCCATATATGTTAGAATTTGTCATTTGTAGTTACTGCCCTTGGTTTTCCTCACATATCTGTGATTAGAAGCCAGAGCTCTCAATATCTTAGGCTACTTCAAGGGAGAACAATGCAAAACCACATGTGAAGAGGAATGGAGTGACCATGTTTGTTAACCTGATTGACTCATCTTACCTTCTCTTTGGTGCCTTTACTCACTTTCAGGCCAGTCAGTATTTACCCATTCCTTCTGACTAACTCCTCAGTCCTGCCAAAACTGTTAAGACATAAAAGGAACTGGGGAAACAGAAGAATTGTATCTTTAAGGCTCTTAAAATTAGAGAAAAGTCCTGAAATCCTACTAATCTAATGTGACATCAATTTTGACAAAAGCTGAACAGCAAGTGAATGCCTGTAACAAGTTTGCACTGGAAACTTGTAAACTAGCTTAGGAAGGAGATCTCAGGATAAAATATTCTCTGAATTCCTTCTAACAGTGTATTTTTAAAAGAATTCCTTACATGCAGCTGTAACTTCTTTTCAGAGTGAGAGGTTCACTAATATGTACTGAGGTGAAATAATTCAAGGCCTCTGACTGTCCAAAGTTTCTTCAAACTTGGCACTTTCACAAAGGAAGTCAAAAAGAAGAGCAATGTTAGGAAGAGAATGATGGTGTCAAAGGCAAACGATTTTGACTGGGAGGCTAGGATAGGTCAGGTGTATGAATTGATGTGGGAAAATAAGTTCACACTAAAATCAATAAACCTCAGCCTAGATATTACCTCTCAGAATATAAAATTAGCTTTAATTTTTTGCTTTAGTTTACAGTTTTTTTAAAAAAAAATTCAAGTCAGTGTACCCCCACAGTTCTGGATGGAGTAGGGCTGGGAGGGGCTCAGTGAAGTGTCCTGCACCACAGCAATGGAAAGATCAATTATTCCCCAACTTAGTCAGTTCATTTGCATCAGAATTGGAAAAATGACTGATGACAAGGTCCAGGCCTGCTGAGTTAAGCTGAGAATTCCATGTTATTACTTACATGGATTTCATTATCTTATCCATAGTGTCTTTTCTGTCTGTCTATCTATCTATCTATCTATCTATCTATCTATCTATATCTATCTTAATTTTAAACCACATAATTCAATCATCTGTACTTGCTGACCTCCAATGAAGTTAAGGGTTAGACCTATTCTCTTAAGAATCCAGTCTGGTCACTCATCATCTGGTATTTTATCTCTTATGACTCATCTTGTTTACTCATTCCATACAGCTAAATTTTTTTTTACCCCACTGACTAATTCACATTGAAATTTCTTGTTCTTTGCTGAAATGCCTATTTTTTATAAATGGGATTTTTCTAAGCAGATATATTTTGTCTGCTTTTTTAAAGTGTGTAAGAAAACATAGAAAGGACTCACCTTTTTACAGTGAAGATCTCTCTGAG